GGGGGGGGGGGGGGAGAGAGAGAGAGAGAGAGAGAGAGAGAAGAGAAATACCAATTTGTCCTCCACTTATTTATGCATTCATTCATTGGTTGGTTGATTCTTATATGTGCCCTGACTGGGGATCAAACCCAAGACCTTGGCATTTCAGGAAGATGCTCCAACCAAGATACTCAGCCAGGGCCAAAATTTCTTTAAATTACCAACTTTATAAATTGAAAAGAGATATCCAAAAATTTATCTTCTTTTGAAATACCAAATCAACAATCTGGAGCTACATAGGGCTATTCCCTTTAGATGGCCCATTCACTCTAGCCCACTTCACTCATTTACATCATCTCCTAGACCTGGATGGCTTCTGAGATTTTGACAGCAGAACTAGGTTGACCACAAATTCAGCAGAATAAACCACTTGCATATTCAGAACATTCAGCTTCCAAATAGGACTGGTCTCACCATAGTCACCAATGACGATGTATGGCCAGATCCAACAGATACTTTTTCAGCCTTATATTAACCCCTCTCTTTAGCATCTCACCCTGATGACCTCGCCTTGCCCTCCTGGACAATACACTCTCCTGATTTCTTCATATCTTCTCAGTCTCCATTGCAGATTATTTCTTCTTCTGCCTGTCCAAAATGCCAAAGGTCCTGCCCAGTATCTCTTCTCACACTACATTTTCTCCCTGAACAATGTCTCAGCTCCCTTAATTTACATAACACCAATATTCAGAATATTCAGAATATTCTGCCTTCTTCTCAAAACTCTGAGCCAGATCACTTTGCATGTTCCACAGGCACTTTAAACAATGTCTAAAACTGAAGTCATTAAATTCCCCCTAACCACCCAGGGTATCTTGGTCAGTGGCACTTATTTATCAAGACTGAAATCTGGGACTCAGGCTCTTCCTGCTAACTTTGTATCACTCCTAACCAATGAATATGTCCTTGCTAATATTACCTTCTAATATTTCTAGAATATATCCTATGTATACCCTATATGTGCTCAGTTTCATTTCTGATTTCTCATCTAACAGGTATTGTAGGCTACTTTATAATACCTCTCCTTAAAACCCCCTCCAGGGCTGCAGTCCATTTCCTCTCTCTGCCTACTTCTGTTTGTTCAATACAACTATTTATGAATAAGGTCCCAGAGGTCAGGGACCATGTTTTATTCAGTTCTAATTACTGACATTGGGCACCCAAACAAGTATTTCTAAGATGAGCGAAACTAAGTGGCTCAGAAAACCATGTAGCAATAGGTGATGGTCCTAGGGAATGCCAGATACAGAAATAATTCTAAATGCTCCTGGAATAAGTGAAGACTTGAAAAGGGAAGTGAAGAGAATCTTGTTGATGAAGATATCATGCTAAGTGCCCTGAAAAGGGAAGGAAAGAGTAGACATATACACCACTTAACTTCTCTTACTTAGTCACAGTTATTACATACAGCTTCTAAAAGAAACAAGTTAGAACAATCCAGGCACCCAAAAAGAACCCATTCTTTTCCTAACATGACTCCTTTTTCTTTCTTATAGTGAAAATAATCTGGAAATTGGCTAAATTACATACATATAGAATATCTCTAGAAGTATCAGAATCAAACAGGGTGGAAGGGCCAGGTACGGAAGTGAGACTGGGACGTTTATAGTCACTGTACACCCTTTTATACCTTTTGAATTTTATGCTATAGTACATATGTTACTTATCCCCCCCACCCCAAATTCATAAAATAGTTTTCAAAAGAGATCAGACTGGTAGGGCTTACCTCCTCCACAGTACAATGGGGACGCCTCAGACCCTTGCCACCCTCTTCAATAATCATCTCTGTTACAACCTGTTCCTGAGGTTTCCACATTAAGGAACTCTCTGGATTGCCTTTGCTATGGCGGCGGCCACCTGGTCTTCTATTATAGCCGTCTGAGTTCAAAGTAAACCTGAGAGACAGAAAAAAAAAAAAGAAACATGTGTCACCAAACTGCTTAAATTGCTGGATTCTAAGCTTCAGACCATTCTGTGATTAGGCTTCCCAGATTAAGCTTGCTCCTGGCAAATCAGACAACTAGCATTCACAAAAGTTAGATCTATCTCTAGAGTAGAGGTAGAATTCTACTATGGAACATCTATTTCCAGTCACCAGGGCTGCCACATGAGAGCCTCTGCCTTCTTCCTCAAGCCCCACTTTCCAACCCCAACTCTGGAATTAGCTCCCCTACTACACATACCCTCCCCTTGTGCTGCACTTTTCCTTTACTCACTTGGCATCGCTGGAATTAATTATTGTGTGATTGTTTAATGTCTATATCCCACACCAAACTTTAAATTCCATGAAGACAGAGATTACATCATTTCATCACTGGATCTTAGAACAGGATCTAAGCCGAAAGGCACTCAATATTTGCTGGATGCTAAATTAATGATTGTAAATTAATAACTGCTAAAGAAATGAAAGCCATGAAGCCCCTAGTCATTGTTGCTGGTGGAAGAGCCTGCCTCTCCTACCATCACCAATAATGGGACAAACTGACATCATATCTTCCTGATGTAATGTTTTAAAAACACTACATGTATGAGACTTTTACCAAAAAAAAGCTGCATAATCTAAAACAAATCATGAATAAGTGTCCGACAAAATTAAAGGACATTCTACAAAAGAAATGTTCTGTTGGGTGGGGTGAAAGTAGGTTTACTATTGTGAGGACGCAAAACAGAGTTTATTATTATTTATTAATTACTGTATTATTTTCCATCCAAAATAATAGATGCCCCACCCTGTACTCTTTAAAAATATCCATGCTATTAAAGGAAGTCTGAGGAGTTGTTCCAGATTAAAGGAGATCAACAAGACTGAAAATTAAACCTAATGCATGATCCTGCACTGAATGTGGACCAGAAAAAATACTCTATTATGGATAAATTTAAATAAGACAAATAGTATTATATTGAATTTTCTAATTTTTGTAATCTATGATTACATAAGTAAATGTCCTCATTCTTACGAAATAAAGCACTGAAGTACTATGATTAGAAGGACATGAGTCTAAGACTCTCAAATGGTTCAGAAAAAATATTATGTATATATGACAGAAAATGATAAAGAAATGGGCAAAATGATAACTGGTGAATCTGTGTCAAATGAAGACAAAATACAAAAAAACGGTCATAACTGGATGAAGAAATAAACAAGCCTACAATTACAGCAGGAAACATTAATACTCCTTGTTCATCAATCAATAAAAAAGTAGACAGAAACCAGTAAGGCCTGTAAAACATCAACAACTTGAGCTGACATTTATAGAACACTCCACCCAACAATAGCAAAATACACATTCTTTTCAAGTGCACATTGGACATCACCCCTATAGACCATATTCTAGGCTATAAAACAAATGCTAAAATTTAAAAGAATTGAAATCATACTAAGTATATTCTCTGATCACAATGGAATTAAACTAAATAACTGAAAGATATCTGGAAAGTCCCAAATATTTGGATATTAAACAACAGAATTCTACACTTCAAAATAATCACTGGTTAAAGAGAAAGTACAACAGAAATTAGAAAATATTTTTAAATTGAATAAAAATTAAAACAAATTTTTCAAAATGTGTGGGATGCAGCTGAAGCAATGCTTATAGAGATAATTATAGCATTAAATGCTTAGAAAATAAGTTCACTTCTAAATATTCAAGTATGTATCTCCCAAGAACAAGGACATCTTTTACATAACCATAATACAGTCATCAAAACCCAGGAACTTCAGCAATGACACAATATGTAACAGGTAGCCACATTTAAATGTCTCCAAAGACATTAAAAGTATCCTTCACGACAATATTTTTACTATCTTGAATCCAATGCAGAAGCTCACATAGCATTTAGTTGTCATGTATCTTTAGTCTCCTTTAAACTGAAAGTTTTTTAGCCTCTCTTCATCTTTATAATGAAGAGTACAGGCCTTAACCAGGTTTCTCATTCTTAGACTCAGATTGATTTTTGCAGGAATATGAATTAACCGATGTCTTCAGCACAATATATCTAGAGGCCACAATGTCTCTTTGTCTCACTGTGAATGGCTTTAACTTTGTTTCTTAAGATGGAGTCATCAAGCAGTTTTCTTACCCTAAAGTTATTATTTTTCCATTGTAATTAATAAGTAATTTGTGGGGAGAAATTTTGAGTATATATAAGTATCCCATACCTCATCAAACTTTTACTTACTAGGTTCAGCTCAATTGATTCCTATATGTATCAATTACTATAATAGTTACAAAATGGTCATTTTCTAATTCAATCATTCCCTGTACACTTACTTGTTGGCATCCTACTATAAAGATCTTTCTCTCCCACAATATATATTTAATTACAACACCTATATCCTGTCTTTATTCATTTTGATGTTTAAATTGTTCCCAATTTGGCCAGTGAAAGCCCCTTTAAGTTTCCTCCTGTGTCACGTTGACATGTCCCCAGTTTCTGAACACTCCTTTTATTTCTGGCACAAGACATTACAAATTCATTTTGTACTTTCTTTCCTACCTCTACAATCAACCATTCATCCAACTCCAGAAAACCCAGTTTTTAGTTAGTGTCTCATTCTTAAACTAAAGGCCTGGTGCACGAATTTATGCACCAATGGGGTCCCTTGGTCTGGCCTGTGGGATTGGGCCAAAACCGGCTCTTCAACATCCCCCGAGGGGTCCCAGATTGCGAGAGGGCACAGGCCAGGCCGAGGGACCCCACCGGTGCACTATCAGGGCCGAGGAGGGACCACAGGAGGGCTCCAGGGTGTGTCCGGTCCGTCTTGCTCAGTCCTGATCGGCCAGACCCCAGCAGCGAGCTAACCTACCAGTTGGAGCGTCTGCCCCCCGGTGGTCAGTGCACATCATAGTGACTGGTTGACCGATCGACTCTCTGCCCCCTGATGGTCAGTGCATGTCACAGCGAGCAGTTGAGCGGCCTTAGCATATCATTAGCTATATTATGCTGTGATTGGTTCAATAGACTACCGGAAACTTAGCATATTAGGCTTTTATTATATAGGATATGAGTGGATAGCCAAGGATTAAGAGTCTTTGAATAGACTCTAATATGAAACATAAGATCAAAAATAAACCAAAGGGGGCAAGGAATTTAGAGGAAGCAGAAAAGCAGGGACAAGAAATTTTAAATAATTAAGAGCTTTAGAGAAATAAGATATTACATCCTTACAATAAGAACAAGAGGCTTGGAGAAAGAAAAACCATGGGGAGTAGGGAAAGGGAGGATGGTTACACCTTAAAAACTATGAAGTGCCCTAACCGGTTTGGCTCAGTGGATAGATCTTCGGCCTAAGGACTGAAGGGTCCCAGGTTCGATTCCGGTCAAGGGCATGTACCTTGGTTGCGGGCACATCCCCAGTAGCGGGTGTGCAGGAGGCAGCTGGTCGATGTTTCTCTCTCATTGATGTTTCTAACTCTCTATCCCTCTCCCTTCCTCTCTGTAAAAAATCAAAGAATATATAAAAACACAAAAAAAACTATGAAGCCCCTTCACAAAGAAATCAGTAAAATATTTCTTTTTAAAGGGCAAGGATAACAAAAGAGAATTTATAGGAAAATTAGATCAATGCAAAAGGTCAAATACATTTTTTTTTAAAATGTTTAATATCCAAGTAGTAGAAATTCTAGAAAGTAGGAACACAAAGAAGAAAATTACCGTAATGAAAAAACAGTTCGGTGTATGAAAATTCATCAGGCTAGGCACATTTCCGCACTTTTCTGCATGCATATTATACTTTTTAAAAAGTTTATAAGTGAATGGCAATTATTTTTCAAAAGGTTTTCAAAAACAGATGCTATGGGCATATAATATGGCAGAAAAAGTAACACATACCTGAGTTCAAGTTTCTCATTAGCTGCATGATATTCGGTAAGCTCAAGTACTTACTTAACAAGATTACATAATAGAAAAAAGTGTGAATGCCTAGCAAGAGTGAGCACCTAATATGTGCTAAGTTTCCATGTAAAGAAAGGCAGAATTTAACACTTACCCAAAGGAAGGCAGGACTCTGCGAGGCTGATCTCGAGTTACTGTCACTCTGATCTTTGGATAATCACTTATTCCATTAGGAGATTTATTACCTATTTTAAAAATGCATTTGTAATTGTAAATAAGTAAATAAATAAATAAATAAATTAATTAATTGAAAAACATCTGTGAACACTGCATTAGAAAAGAAACTGTATGATCAGTCTACACTGTAGAACCATATATGCTATTTTTTCAAATTCTATTACTATACAGCACAGAGATTAGAACAACCTTTGTAAGGTTAAAGGAAAAGCAATAGTGCTTAGTTTGTCTTTGATCTCAGATAAGCAATAACAATTCATGGGCAAGCTTCCTAGTTTTGCTTGCTGGGATCAATAAGAGGCATGAAGAACTTAATGATTATAAAACTCCCTACAACCTAATCAAATTAAGAGAATTTTTCAAGTTGTTTTTTCCTCCCAAGAAAACAGAAGTATTTTTAAGTGAAAACCTGCCACATGTTACTACATTTCACTGGAAGCTTCTAACACTTGTGAAATAGTTACTATACTTCAAAAAATGGTAACCAAATTTTCATCAGCCACATTTTCTTTGGAGCTATTACAGGGGCTTGGAGTGCCTGAGGACTCCAAAATGCAATTGTAGCAGCAAAACCTAAACTGACCTGAATTCATTTGCTTGCAAAACCTGACTTGAACCAATGTTCAAATCCAATGGGTTTTTACAATAATATTCAATAAACACAAAATATCTAAAATAGAATAAATTCAGAATCCCCAAACACGTTTCTAAGGGCTTCAGATTAGAGACTGTGGACTTGATTATATTAGAAACCTGCCCCAGGAATACATGTGCTTCTCTGACTAGACTACACAAACCCACAGAAATATACTGCTGATGCCTCGGGCAGGATAAATCTACTAGCCTTTCCATGTCAATTTTAATGGTAAATAATTTTAAACATTTATATAGTCAAACAATATAAATAGATTATGAAATCTAATTTGTATTTACTTATTAAATAAAATGAAAGGCTTCAAAGAAGTATCATCTTTGTCCCCAGGTCCCTTGGAACTAGATTCTCAGACTTGGGGGTACACATTTATTTTCCTTTCATCTGTCACTAGAGGTACTTGACTTAAAAAGTTTGTTTGAGAAGCACTACTCTAAGGTTTTTATCATTTCCTTAGCTTCTTGCACTTTTGACTTCTAAACCCACTTCTCTAAAAGCTCTTTTTCCCCTTCCTCTCAAACTTTACATACCTACCTGCCTGGCAGAGATCACACCATTTTCAGGACTCTGGTTTCTCCCTATTGCCCCGCTGCCTCCACCCCCCACCCCATGGCACTGTGCACAGTATATTACAAAATTAACAATTCAATTTTGGGGTCTGGATGATATAGAGGTTCCTAATCCATAAAACTATGAGAACTGGAGACCTAAGGTTGCTCCCCAATCAGATTCACACATAAAAAAAGTCCTTCTAAGGCAGAGTTTTACTATTTTTGTTATTATTGCTATTTGTTTTATTATTAAAGGTTTCATTATTTTGTTATTAAGTATTTTATTATTTTATTATTCTGAATATCGTAGCATAGTGCCTAGCACAGAGGAAGTGCTCAGGAAATGTTTATGTGTTGTTTTTAGGGAATGAAACTTGATCTAAGTCACATTATGGACACTGATTATCCAAATAGAAAACACAACAGTAAATTCAAAGACAATTGTAAAGGAAAGCTATTTGCCTTTTAGAATGACAGAGAGAATGTCTGTGTTTTCATATCAAAGCAGTGTTCTCCTTTCATAGTCTCAAAACTCAGAAAAAAGAGGCAGGAGGAGGAAGGGGGAAACAAAAATATTTTTGTCCACCTCACCCAGTTTCAGCATGTTGTTCCAGGATCCGGAACCTGTCAGTTCACAAGATGAAGAGTTCGAAAATACCTTAAAATCAAATAAAATAACCTCTGTAGTATATAATTTTAGAATTTAAGTAAGTTTCTAATATGAAAAAATACAAATCACTCTATTGGTGCTAGCTCACAGAAGAGATAAAACCAGATATTTAATTTGTGAAGACTCACAAAATGATGTAAAAAAATTAACAATTCCAAGGTCTCCAAACATACTTATTATGCAGTAATTGAGCTCTTTATAAATATTTCTTAAATATGTAATTTCTTTTATAAAGTGTAATTTCTTAAACTTCTAAGTTTTTGGCCTATATATCAAGGCTAATAAAGACATGCATATTTCTGGATAGAAGTCATTCTACACATTAATGCCCAAAATGAGAATATTTCCAAAATTTAGTTTCAATGATTAAGTACCAAAATCAGTAGTGCCAAAGGAGTCCTATCCCCACTGACCTCTCCTGAAGGAGCTGCATTCCGTGTTCCGTTACAAGCAGGAGCTACAGAAGCTACCATGGGCTTTGTGGTCAGCTGGAATGGGAATCCAAACAAGCTGGCAGCATTGTAGAGACTGTTTTTCACTTGGTGAATAAAGCAATCTAGAAAGTGTAATACAGATTACATATACATATAAACCTAGAGTAATAAACTTCTGGCAAAAAAAAATAAGATTGCAGCCCAGCGGTGTGTGGCTCAGAGGTTGAGTGTCGCCCGAGGAACCAGGAGGTCACGGTTCAATTCCTGATCAGGGCACATGCCCAGGCTGTGGGCTGGCCCCCAGTAGGGGACGTGCAGAAGGCAGATCAATGATTCTCTCTCATCATTGATGTTTCTCTCTCTCTCCCCTTCTCCCTTTTGCTTCTCGGAAATCAGTAAAAACATCCTATATAATAAAAGGCTAACATGCAAAACGACCAGTCGCTATGACGTGCACTCACCACCAGGGGAAAGATGCTCAATGCTGGAGCTGCCCCTGGTGGTTAGTGCACTCTCACAGGGGGAGCACCGCTCAGCCAGAAGCCAAGCTCACAGCAGGTGAGCACAGCGGTGGCAGTGGGAGACTCTCCTGCCTCCATGGCAGTGCTAAGGATGTCCAACTGCTGGCTCCCAGACTGCAAGAGGGTGCAGGCAAGGCTGAGGGACCCCCCTCCCCCCGAGTGCACGAATTTCGTGCACCAGGCCTCTAGTATTTTTAAAAAGTAATAAGATTGTATCTAAAAAAGGCCTCTCAATTTTTATTAGAAGTCCTATTTTCAATCATTGAGATAAAAAGTTACCTGTAAAAAGACTTTTCTCCTACTTGAATAACTGAAATTCCAGCACTGTGTTTTTTGTATTTTTAGTAAGATATCTGGGATGCTACAAAAATATTAAACTATCACACAGATTTCACACACAAAAGTCCTGAAAGGACAGCTTTCAAGCAATGATTTTTCCCAAATATATAAAACAAAAAGAGCCCTAGCTGATTTGGCTCAGTGGATTGAGCATCAGCCTGCAGACTGAAGGGTCCTGGGTTTGATTCTGGTCAAGGGCACATGCCTGGGTTGTAGGCTCAAACCCCAGTGGGGGGCGTGCAGGAGGCAGCTGATCAATGATTCTCTCTCATCTTTGGTGTTTCTATCTCTCTCTCCCTTCCTCTCTGAAATCAATAAAATATATCCTATATAATAAAAGGGTAATATGCAAATTGACCCTAGCAGCAGAACGACTGGGAATGACTGGTCACTATGACACACACTGACCACCAGGGGGCAGGCGCTCAATGCAGCGCTAAGGATGTCCGACTGCAGCTTAGGCCTGCTCCCCACTGGCAAGTGGACATCCCCCAAGGGCTCCCGGGCTGCCAGAGGGATGTCTGACTGCCAGTTTAGGCCCAATCCCTCGGGGAGCGGGCCTAAGCCAGCAGGTGGACATCCCCCGAGGGGTCCAGACTGCGAAAGGGCACAGGCCAGGCTGAGCCCCTCCCACCCCCACCCCCCCCGCCAGTGCACAAATTTTTGTTCACCGGGCCTCTAGTATATATATAAAAGAAAAGAAATCTATACCAAAGGGTCAGGGGCATAAGTTAACAACCTGGAGTTTATAGTCACTAGGTATGGCAGAATCCTACAGGAAACACATCATTTACTCATAGGTTTGTCCTTATTTCCTGGGCAGGTAACATTATAGTTTTCCTAAACAGCTACTTACTAAGTGCCTACAGTATCTTGACTACGCCAAGGTAGAAATTACTGAAGTATAAGATATGCAATTCTTAAACATCTATGATAAAACAAGGATATCCCTCTACTGGAGAAAATGTGTCAGACTCACCCTCCCTGCCACCAAACAAAGATTACAAAATAAGCAAGTAAATAAACAAGGGGGAGGGGTAAATTTGTGTTTTCTTAACTTCCTCCTTTTATCACTACCCTTTTCTTACTTCCTACACTGATGACTTATTTTCTACAATTTACTTTCTATTTCCTAATTAAGGGTATTCTAAAGCACTGGTTTGAAAGAAAGAGTTCATCACCTTAGCCACCTTCTGCTTTAGAGAAAAACAGCCTGAAATTGAAATGGTGGCTTTTAAGCAACAAGCACTCCAGAACAGATAAGATATATAATACTTTCCAGAAAGACAGTGAAATAACTTAAACAGCAGGGAGGATGTGATAACTGGGTAAAGCAGAATCCAATCTGAAGTCATTTGAAACTAGAGAATAGTTCAAAGAACCAGTTTGCAAATGACCTGTTTCATAGTTAAAAGAAACAAAGTTTACAAATATCCTGTTTCTCATTTTTAGGAATTAGAAAGAATTCCAGGTTATCCCTCTAATAATGTGAGCTTTATGTGGGAGAAAACAGCTTTAGGGATTGGTGATTAACCTACAGACAGTCATCCAAGCTCAGAGGACAAGAGGTACTCTTACCCAGCCATGTTGCTCAGTGGTTGAGCAGTGATCCATGAACCAAGAGGTCACCAGTTCGATTCCCAGTCAGGGCATATACCCAGGTTGCAGGCTCAATCCCCCAGTAGGGATGTTTCTATTTCTCTATCCCTCCCCCTTCCTCTCTCTAAAAAATCAATAAAAACATATTTTTAAAAAAGAGGTACTCTTAACAACTTAGTTAAATAGTGGACACTAAAAAGTAACATAATATTTATTTTCCTACAAATTTTGTCAAAATCTGAGTATGCCTAAGATTATATCAAAAGTTCACAGACTAAAAAAAAAAAAAAAAGGCCTGCCTCATCTATAAAATGGGGTAAGACCACTTTATTTTCCTGAGACTAACCTAAAATCTCTTAAAATCCTTTTCTTCTATAAGTCATGAGTCTGAATTCTAAGGTCCTCCTTTTCTTTAAGCATTCCTTTCTTTTCTCTGAAAAGCAACCAATAGAGCTGTACTGCCAATATAGTAGCCACTAGCTACATGTAAGTTACCCAAGTTTCAATTTAATTAAAATTATAAATTCAGTTCTTCAGTTGCACTAACCCCATTTCAAGTGCTCAATAGCCATCGTGGCAGATAGTTCTATTAACATTACTATAACCCTTTACAAACTCTGCCAGTATTACCTCTGCTACTCACTGCTTCCCCCTTGCCTTAGGTTTCCTTCTATAGTTCCCATTCAGAAAATCATAACACATATTTCATGGAAATCGTGGAGGAAGAGATCCTTAACATAGAAGTCCATAAAATGGATGACTGCCAAAATTATTTCTGGAAACGTCTATAATTTCACTGTGTATGTTATTTGTTTACCACATACAGTTATTTATATTTTTCTTTAAACTTGACTCTCTTTTGGTAAACAAATGTATTTGAAAGGTAATTTTTAAAAATATTTTTACTTATTGATTTTAGAGAGAAAGAGAGGGAGAGAGGGAGAAACATCAATTTTGTTGTCCCACTCATTATACATTCATTGGTAGCTTCTTGTATGTGCCCTGACCAGGAATTGAACCTGCAAGCTTGGTGTATGCGGATGACGCTCTAACCAACTGAGCTACCTGGCCAGGACTGAAAGGTAATTTTTTATTTTCAATTTCGGTTTACATTCAATATTATTCTGTATTCGTTTCAGGTGTACAGCATAGTGGTTATAAAATCATGTACTTTATAGAGCAGCTCTCCAATATTTCAAGTACCCACTTGGTCCCATACATAGTTATTATGATATATATTCCCTATGCTGAAATTTACATCTCTGTAACTATTCTGTAACTACCTATCTATACTTCTTTTAATATATTTTTATTGATTTCAGAGAAGAAGGAAGAGGGAGAGAGAAACATCAATGATGAGAGAGTCATTGATCAGCTGCCTCCTGCATGCCCCACACTGGAGATCAAGCCCTCAACTCAGGCATGTGCCCTGTCGGGGAATCAAACCTTGACCTCCTGGTTCATAGGTCAACACTCAACCATTGAGCCATGCCAGCTGGGCCGATTTATATTTCTTAATTTATACTTCTTAATTCGTTCGCCTTTTTCACCCAGTCCCCCAACCTTCCTCCCCTGTCAAACATCAGTCTGTTTTCTTTACCTATGAATCTGTTTCTACTGTTTATTTTGTTCATATAAGTGAAATGATATTGGTATTTGTCTTTTTCCATCTGACTTACTTCACTTAGCATAATACCCTCCAGGTCCATCCATGCTGTCACAAATGGTAAATTTTCATTCTTTTTTACGGCTGAGTAGTATTCCACTGTGTATTATATACCACAGCTTTTTGTTGTTGTTTTTAAAAAATGTTTTTATTGATTTTTTTTAGAGAGAGAGGAATAGAGGGAAACATCGATGTGAGAGTGAAACATCAATCAGTTACCTCCCGCATGCACCCCAACTGGGGATTGAACCTGCAACCTGGGTATGTGGCCTGTCTAGGAATCAAACTAACAAGGTTTCGGTGATTGGGTGATGCTCAATCAACTGAGCCACACCAGCCAGGGCTCACAGCTTTTTTTTTCCACTGTCAATTGATGGACATATTGGGTTGCTTCCATATCTTGGCTATGGTTAAACAATGCTGCAATGAACATGGAGGTGCATATATTCCTTTGAATTAAAGTTTTGGGTTTCTTTGGATGTTGAAAGGTAATTTTATATTACTTGTGTGAATGTAAAGCAACATTATTTGCCTTATAAAGAAATGAAAACACAACAATATTAAGTTCTAGCTGGGCCTATTAAATAAGGAGAGATCAGCATGTACTATTGAGCCTTGAATAACACAGGTTTGAACTGCGCAGGTCCATGTATGCACAGATATTTTTCAATACTGTAAATGTACTTCCACTTCCTTATGATTTTCTTAACATTTTTCCTAGCTTACTTTATTGTGAGAATGCAGTGTGTGTGTGTGTGTGTGTGTGTGTGTGTGTGTGTGTGTGTAATCAACTATTTATTGGTAAGGCTTCCAGTCAAAAGAAGACTATTAGTTAAATTCTAGGGGAGTCAAAAGTTATACATACATTTTCGACTTTATGAGGGAAATGATTACCCTAACCCCCATGTTGTTTTAAAGGTCAGCTGTTTTAGACAAGTATTGAAGACATACTAAGCATTCACTCAAGATTTTCTGCTTAAAATAACCAGAAATTTAAAATAACTGAAAAGGATACAACTTTTTAAGTACATAACATAATTCAAGTATTACTTAATATTATGAACACTGTACCTCCTAAAATCATTTCTTGACTGATATCCTGTGCTTTGGGAAATACCATTCTAATGAATTTGGATATTCCTGGCATTCAAAGGCCTCCATAAGTTGACCTATCTCTCTCTTGCCAACTTTTTCCCCTAAGTTTTACCCACTAGTTCCTGAACTGCACAACTTTCCAATACAATTCCCTCTACCTAAAAAGCTTTTCCTTACTATTGCTCCCTGCTGATATCCTATCCATCCTTCAGGACCCATCTCACATACTAGCTCCTTCCCCAACTATCCATTGAGACTCTTAACCAGCTAACTGGACAGTATTTTGTTACTACCTTTCTTATTTCATTTATCATGTTCTCATTGACATTGTTATTATTTATGTGCTTGGCTTATATCCCCTACTATATAATCATATACCCTTACAACTATAAGGTTTTTAAAAATAGAGATCCTGTCTTACTCATTTTTGTATTTCCTGCAGAACCTCAGACACTACTTAGCAGTAAGACATGCTAAGAAAGTACTCAAGAGATTAAAATGAAATCTTAACACATATGTGTCTACTCTTAACCACATCTGGAGGTAGATCCACATTCATATGCATTTTTTAGAAATAAGAAAATATTATTATAGTAATCCATTGTACCTTTTCCTTTTACTCTAACTGTATTCTCTTCTATGAAATGATGTCTAGCCCTTTAGATTGTAGGGAAGTAAACAATTTGAGGCAACACATTAGATTGATTCACTCAGCTATCTGAACCAGATGTCTCAGTTTGAAGTAGTTTTTATAATGTTTTTTCCACAAATTTAAAAAGCAACTTTTCTTTAAAAAAAAAAGGCAACTTTTCTTTCTTTTTTTTTTTCTTCTTCTTATTAATCCTTACCCGAGAACATTTTTCTATTGATTTTCAGAGAGAGCGGAAGGGAGGGGAAGAGACAGAGAGCGAAACATCGATTGGTTGCCTCCCGCATATGCCCTGACTAGGGCCAGGAATGGAGCCTGTAACCGAGGTACATGCCCTTGACAGGAATCGAATCCAGGACCCTTCAGTCCACAGGCCAACGCTCTATCTACTGAGCCAAACTGGCTAGGGCAAAGCAACTTTTCCTTATAGAAAGATTTCGAATTTTAAAATGTATATTAAAAAAACTTTAAAAAAATGTATATTCAATCTATAGGCTTATCTATCTAGAAAGACATTTAGTCCCCCAGTTACCTCCAGGAAAGATAACTGAGTAGAAAAGGAATGCAAAAGAGACTTACTTTTCACTATATATACTTTTTAGCTTTTGAATTCTGTTACATACATATAGTTTTCCTATTAAGACACTAATTTTTAAAATTAATAATCAATACCTAATCTTGGTCTTTTGGCTGGTATTTCATCAGTGTCCACTGTAGAAAACAGAGTGCTGAAACAAAAGAAAAGAAATATATGTATACATATGTACTTATATATACACACATAATCATTTCTATAAGTAAACTTAGCGTTTATAAAACACACCTCCCACTATCCACTTTGTCATAAAATGAGATCAAACTGATGTTTTAAAAGAGAATGCTACTCGCCCTGGTAGTTGTGGCTCAGTTGGTTGAGTATCGTCCCATGCACCAAGAGGCCGTGGGTTCAATTCCCGGTCAAGGCACATACCTGGGTTTCGGGCTCAAGCCCCAGTAGGGGTTGTACAGGAGGCAGCCAATCGATGTTCTGTTCTCTCTCCCTGTCCCTTTCTCTCTCTAAAATCAATTATAAAACAAAAAATAAAATAGTACAAAAAAGAGAATGTCACTCCATAGTAGGACTTAATACCATGGTTCCAACTATTTGAAAGAGACCCAAAATCCCTATCATGTAGTATCTGTAATCTGGCTAAAGTCCAAAGTTGAAGCTGGTCAGAAATCACTTAGCTAGTAAATGAACATAGGTTAAGAGCCTAGGACTTCCTTCTTTTCTCCAGAAATGACTTAAAAAATCAGCACCCCCCTCCCCAGTTACTTTCTATCTCAGATAGAAGTAGACAATATAAGAAGCCTTGAAAGACAGTTCTTAGCCAGAAAAGCTGTAATATTTAACTGCATTTTTTTTCATGGAAACTATATTACAGTGATAATAAAGTATTTGAAAATTCAGAAAAGTTATCGAACCTTTACCTCAACAATGTTAAAGCTTCATGATACACTACTAATCATCTAAAGACGATTGTGACTGATCATATTTACAAAAAATGAACAGAATAAATCCCAGGATAATACAATTTAGTTCATTACTTTAAACATCCCAAGACCTCCTGGCTTCATTTTGACTGAAAAATGGCTTACATTGAGAAGAGTTGTTTTAGATTAAGGATGGGCAGTAAAGAATAGTATTTCCGCCGAACCGGTTTGGCTCAGTGGATAGAGCGTCGGCCTGCGGACTCAAGGGTCCCAGGTTCGGTTCCGGTCAAGGGCATGTACCTTGGTTGCGGGCACATCCCCACTGGGGGGCGTGCAGGAGGCAGCTGATCGATCTCTCTCATCGATGTTTCTGACTCTCTATCCCTCTCCCTTCTTCTCTGTAAAAAAATCAATAAAATATATTAAAAAAAAAAAGAATAATATTTCCATCTCCAAACCACTGTTCCCCTGACTAGCAGGAATTCACAGCAAAAAGAGAGAGGACAGGGGAGAGCAAATAAATATTCCCTTATTTAATAAATACCAACTGCCTATCATGCACCAACCTCCGCACAAGGCCCTCTGGGTGGAATAAACAAATACTACTCATATATACTAAGCATCATGCTAGGCACTTCACAAAATGTTCTCAAATGAGCCTGATAACAACCCTACAGAAAGGTAGAAAGGAATAATAAGTTGAAACCCTACCCTCTCTGAACACATAATGGAATTTAGCTAACAATCTATTTCATCAATGACCTGCATTCTCAGATTCCTGTATTAATTCTCTTGTTCTCTCACACTCCAAGAAACCAACTTTCAATGATCTTGAGGCTTAATAATAATAATAATAAATAAAAATGAACGCGACATTTGATCATTGGGGGGAAGGGTGTAAAGAACTGTTATGGTATTTTATTCTGTAGAAGATTAAGTCTTAGGCAAAGGGGCGCACACTGTGAAGGTATAAACCAAGGGGTAAAATGCTAAGTAAAAACAGCCTTTACTCTTTCCCCAAAAATTTTAACTTACGAGTACAGACTAGTGATCTTTTTAAAGGAATGAAGTACCTACCTACCTACCTACCTACCTACCTACCTACCTACCTACCCCCCCTCCCCATATACTAATGCTGAAGCTAAGAATCACTCTCCCTACCTCTCTGCCCAAGGGCGCGTGTGTACACACACACACACACACACACACACACACACACACACACACACACACACACACAGTCTGACAACTGTTTCAGAACAAGACAGCTGCTGTTTCGGTGCTGAGAGAACAGCATTTGCAGTCAAAACGGCTCTGGGCAAGCTATCAACCTCACTTCCCTTAACCGCACTTACTGCCCACAGATGACACTTGGGAGTGTGCTTTGTAAACAGAGAGCCCAAACAAATCGTTCGTGCTCCACCTGAGAGCAGCAAAGTATGGTAAAGCCCCATTTGTGGACAGGGAGCGGCGTGGACTCGGACAAGAACAGCCAATGTCCTGACCATCACCTGCCACTCCGAAGACAACCAGCATCTTCCGTCACCAGGAGCGGCATCAGCCCAGGGCGGAGGAAGCAGCTACGTCACCAGGGCACCCGCGACCCGCACCTCCACCGCCGCGGCCCAGCGGCGCGTCCGGGCTGCGCTCCTCCGCCGGGGCCCGCCGGGCGGGATCGGCGCTCGCCGCCGGACCCGGGATAGGGGAGGGGACCCACGGGCCAGCGCTCAGCCCCTCTCCGCTCACCTGTTCGAGCGCCGTCGCTTCAGCAGGGCCCGGGCAGGGGGCACCGACCGGTCGCAGAAGCGGAAAATGGTGCCGAGAATCCTAACCAGCCATTTGTACATACCAAGCCGAAGCAGCAGCGGCGGCCGACACACCCCGAGACGCAAACCCCAGAGCTGTCGCCGCCGCTGCCGCCTTCGCCGCCTCAGCCACCACAGCCAAGGCTCAGTCGCCGACTGGTGACGCGAGCGGCAGGCCCACACATACAACGTCCCCAGGGCTACGGGAGGACCCCGCCTGCCTCCGCGCTCAACGTCACCTCCTCCCTCCCGACCGGAAGGCATCTTCGTCCTCGACCTGCGCACGCGCACCCTAAGGGCTGGCCCCGGCCCAATCAGGGGTGAGAGCGAAAGGGATGTGGGTGGGGCTCTTCCCTTCGGCGGAGCCAATCCTGAGGCGGCCCGCGGGACAAGGCCCACAGGCTGCACGTGAGGCTTCTCCACCAGGGAGGGGGCGCTCCGAGGGCCTGAACTACAGGAGGCGCTCAGTACGTGTTTGAGTGCCCAAGAGAAAGGTAGGTCAGATGAATTAACAAGTGTTTGCCGTGGAAGGAGCCCTTCATTTTGCTTCTACCTTGTACTTGACAGGCACTGTCACCTTCGTTTCTCCCAGCAACCACAGGCAATGGAGAATCTTGTGCCCCCCTCTTTTTTTTTTTTTTTTAAATAAATAAGGAAATCGAGGGACAGAGCGATTAAGTAATGTGCCTAAGGTTATAAAGCAAGCTGGAAGTTGAACCCGGGTCTGAGAACCAGCACCAATCCCCCACCCTAGAAGTCTTCTGGGAGGGACGAGATTACAAGTTACAAGACAATTGGCTTTATTCATCATTTGTTCAATAAATAATATTCTGAAATTCGGCCGCAAGCCACTCCCCTAGAGCTTCAGAACCACTAGCTACCCACCTTTGGCTACCGCCACTCTGGCTTGGGGGCAGGGGCAGTTCCTGTACACAGCTAACACTAGGATGTCACTGAAAGTTTGAGAATACAGTATTAGCAGAATTACAACGCCTAGAACAGCGGTTCTCAACCTGTGGGTCGCGACCCCTTTGGGGGTCGAACGACCCTTTCACAGGGGTCGCCTAAGACCATCGGAAAACATATATAATTGCATATTGTTTTTGTGATTAAGCACTATGCTTTAATTATGTTCAATTTGTAACAATGAAAATACATCCTGCATATCAGATATTTACATTACGATTCATAACAGTAGCCAAATTACAGTTATGAAGTAGCAACGAAAATAATTTTATGGTTGGGGGTCACCACAACATGAGGAACTGTATTAAAGGGTCGCGGCATTAGGAAGGTTGAGAACCACTGGCCTAGAAGATTTAGAAGTGGCTATTGCAAGCACAGCATCTACAGCCCATTGCCTCCCCAAAGGACTCTCCTTCCCCCAAAGTCATCTCTCTACTCTTCTCAACATCTCTTACAAGCCACCAACAGAGAAGAATTTCCCTCCCACCTGCAACCCAACCCATTTCATAATTTAAGACTAATGCTGGCTTTTTTTTGCAGAGCAGTTTAGCAGTGTCCCAGCTGTCCATTCCACTTTAAGAGTTGGTCTTTGCTTTTGCCAAACTAAGAACACCATGCAAGTATTGAGAAGAGATTCCTCAAAACAAAAGAGCAGTCTTCATTCAAAAAATAAATCAGAACCCTGATCAGACGGCTCAGTTGGTTGGTGTGTCGCTTGTACACCAAAAGGTTGTGGGTTTGATTCCTGGTCAGGACACATACTAGGTTGCAGGTTTGATCCCTGGTTGGGTGCGTACAGGAGGCAACTGAAAGATTAACATTGTGGTACTCTGGCAGGCTAAATAGCCATCTCAGGCAGTGATTAAAGAAAACTGGATTTATTTAAGGAAAATGGGATGGAAGGTGGGGATATCCAACAGGAAGGGCTACACAGAGAAAAAGGGGCCTTGGAGACAGGTGCAGGGGGTTAGCCCAGGATGAGCAGCCACTATCCATTGCTCCCCTGGTTGCAAGTCTCATGGGGTCCCTTGGCTTAGAGGTTATGGGATATGTTCCTGGCGGGTGGGGCGGGGGAATGGCACAGGAGGGAGAGCATACATTGGATCCTTTGTCCTGAGTGCATTCATCTCTTTCTTGCAGGTGGAAATCTTAGGGAAGTTCTCAGGGGAGGATTTTAATAGAAGTCATCAGCTTTCCAGGTGTGCTCTTTCAGGGTCGTGATCTCCGCTGATTGGTCTGTACCAGGGCAGGGGGTCATTAGTCAATGTAGCTGG